ACCGCGACAATGCGTCTTCGCGAAGTCCGCTCTTTTCAACTCCCACTATCGATCGCAATCGATATTGATTTCCCTCTGCCAACAATTCTGCCGCTTCCAACAATCGCTTTCTTTAAAACTTTATATTCTAGATTTAATCAGTGGATGTGTTATATTCAATAAAGGCACTGCGCCTGTAACCGAAAATTACAAAGAAGCTTTCCTCTCAAGAAGGATAAAATTAACTTACATCATAGGATGGCTAGAAGCTTAGATTTCTTGGGAACGGCATTGAGAGTTGTGGCAGGTACGCCTGATGCGTAGCACCTCGAAAAAATCGAAATAACTGAAGCTCAGCTTAAGGAATAAAAAAATATACAGGTATCGATTAATACAGAGGCACACAGGAAGGCAAATGAGAAAACGATTAAACACAGAATATAAATAATATTTAATGAAAGAAAAGAAAACATATTCCCTTCCCTCTTGCCATAAAAACATAAGAAAGAAGACAGAAATGCAAAGTGCCAACGAGTAGCTTTCCCACGGTTCCGGTGCACAGCGATCAGCTTACCTCGGACATTGGACACTTGTTGGGAGGCGATTGACCCAAGTAACCCTCCGTTACCGGGCAATCGACTCACACGCGCGAGCCAGTCAGCAGTCTGCAACTCCCCTTCCAGGGGATATTGGACACTGACTGGAGGCCTGTTGATTAGGTAACCCTCTGTTACCGATCAACCAGTCGCCACGCGCAGCTCATAATCGAACAATATTTGTATAATGCCCCCTTTCCCTCCCTTGATTTCAGCCAGCGAGTCCCGTCCCTGATAAAGTCCCCGCAAAAATTACAAATTTCTTGTAATTTTGGATCCCGGACAGGCTGATGCATATCCCAGCCTTGAATAAGTATCTTAAAAGTCGCACCCGATCAGGGACTTTAAGTGTTAACCCCAGAGGTCGGCCACATATTTATATTCAATGTGAAAGAACAAAATTTGAATTGGTGGTGGACCTGTAAAGGTTCAAGGATCAACAATCAACAAGTAAAAAAATTACTCAAGAAAATGAACAACAATGACAAACGATAAAGTAAGTATCAATGACACCATGGGAGAGCTAACATTAGCATAGCTCCAATTGGCAAAAGTCAAAGATCACGAGTAAACAGCACCCGTGATGATGTGCCAAGACCGTACCGGTACCCGGCTACCCACCAGCCGAACCTCCCCGTGCTACTCTGCAATCCACAGTTTCTTAGGAAAGCAGTTCTGCGGCTCACCTCCGAAAATGCAACATCAGCATTAGGCAGGCACATTGTATATTTACATACTCGTACATATATTTATGAACATACTGTAAATCTTGGTATAGATTTTGATTCGTAATAAAGTTCAGTTGAAAGATTTAATTTGATCGGCAACCAAGAAAAAACAACTGCGAAATTCCAACGCCAACAAGGAAACCACGATTAAATATTAGCTCGTGCAACTGGGCTAATTCGGTTTGCAACTGTTCCATTCTACATAGCCTCAAATCTTGCGGCCTGATTGGCTAGTGCGGCATCCACTTCCGCTGTGAGAGTTAGTGGCTAGGTCCATGTTGTCGGCTAATTTTTGAGGCGGCTGTCTGTCGTTGTCTGTCAATCGGAGACCCTCAAGAAGGGAATATGTATAAGCTATCCCTATCACTCATATGTTGCGATCTGCCAAGCTTAGCACCGCCCTACGCAATTTATAACACAGCGTTCCGTTGCACTAATCACGAGGCGCAAGAGAGGTTGGACTGTTTCGTTTTTCTTTGGTTTAAATATGTTTTTTCTTGACACAGGAATTTAAATGGACTGGCATAGAAAATATTCAAAAAAATGTACTTACATTTTGTTATGCTTAAAGTTGTGGCGTTGTTTAATAATAATTGCATGTTCATCCGGTTGAGCGAGGCCTTAGATGTTTCGGGCATCCTGGGCGTGTTGGGCGTGAAGCGAAGCTTCCTGCTTACTAATTGCGTTTAATGTTTAGGAATTCATCGAAATTAAACAATGATAATCGAAAGCAACAAATAGACTTACACAAGTGTCGAAAACAATGCCACATTCTCTGGCTATCATTTAAAAAAAACAGCACGCAATTTGGTGCACGCGTTGCGGAGATATCCGCTTACACACCGATTTTTTTCTACACATTTATAGTATAGATTGATCTTAATCAGCATCAATGGCCGAGTCGATATAGCCACGTCTGTCCGTCCTTTCCACCTTGCTGGGCGCCTAGTTCTCAGAGACTTTAAGACCTGGAGCAACCAAATTTTGTATCCAGACAGCTGTGAAGAATGAAGAAATTAATTTTCAGTGGCTTACCCGCTACCTTTCAGCGCTGCAGCGCTTACCCATTCTCTCTCTCTCTCTCTCTCGTTATCGCTAACACACTCTGTTTCGTGCAGTGCACTATGGGAGGGAAATTTGACCACCTTTTCTGGCCAAAACCCATTTTTCAAAAGTTGTTAAAATAATATATTTGTATCCCTATACATATATCCGAGTAACATTGGTCGTTAATGTTACGCAAACAAAAAGTTAACAGTGCGTACCACTGTTAAGTTAACAGCTGTCAAAGTCAGCTGTTTGTAAAAAGTGTTAAAAAGTTACAAATTCATCAATTTAAGTGCTTTCTTTACAATGGGTTCGATTCAGACAGGTATGCTATATATGTTTATGAGTTTGAACTGTAAAAATTGCCCTCATAATTATGTTTAATGTCACATTTTTTAAAAAGTATAAATTTGTGACAAAAATGTGTCTTTGAAAAGGCGTACAAGAAAAGTGTCCACTCGTGGAACCATATGAGTTAATGCATCTTGTAGAAAATTCCATTTTTATTCAAATGTATATCACGTTACTCTGCGCGTGGGTGCGTGTTCTCTGCAATCTTAACTTTTAGGGAAAAACATAAGGACAAACATAGACCGCGGCAGGGCGTGAGCACTAGGCTGGGCAGAAGGGACGCCGTTTGGATTTTACTCCTCTTTCGAGGGTAGCGAAACCATTTCACCAAATTTAAAAAATACAAATGCCAAAGAAAACTAGAGCGCTTTGGGTCTGCTTTTGCCATCGTGCAAAATAAAAAATGGGCAAACATATGTTTGTATGTAAAGTATACAAGAAAAGAGAACAGAATTGCAGCCGGCTTTTTTCAAAGGAATATCGTGCCCGAAACTTGCTTCGTATGTGTATAACAAGGTATTTCTATTTTTTTTCAAGTAGCAATTAAAAACATAACTGATAACGGGGAAAACTCAAGAAGTTGCAAGCAGCATGAGGTGACAAAATATATCACTTTAAAACAAGTTACAGATCAGAAACGGAGTGCCGACCGGATGTCATATATAACTGCAGAAGTAACTGATTAATGACAGCTATCGAATGGTATGCAAGATGTTTTGGCAATGGAAAACGGCATTTTCAGGCCATATTATCCAACTTATTCAGCCAGTACAGATAATTTAAGCTACGGTTAGTTTTAATTTCTTGATTAAATATTTTTTTATTTAATTTGGCTAGCAACTTCTAAAAAATAAGAAATCGGTCAAGGTGATAAAAGAGTTGTACCTGAAAGAAAAATAATGATTCAAGGCTGTGGTGAGCTGTCTCGAATCGTTCAACAAAAAGTTAAATTTTTGGCCCAGCAAATAATTGCAATGCCTTTTTGCCCGCTCTTGGCACGCAGCAGAGTAAGCGATCACAAACCAAGGACAATCTGATTACCAAGTCAGTTGCCATTGAATTTGGCTGCAAACCTTTCGCTCCATTCTGAGGACGACTGTTATCGAGCGAAAATCCATTTTTACCAATGACTGCGACAGATCATAAAAACTTGGAACAAATTCAAGGGAAATAATAGAAAACTGACGCTTGAAAATTGAGCTGAAATAGTTAGGCATAGCTGTTTCGGAGCTGGCTGAAGATCAATTCGAATATTCATGGATGATAGAGCTCGAAAGGAACTCCTGAGGATTAACGTGGTGTGGCAGTAAACATATTACATATTTACAATAAAATGTTAATTAAAAGGTATCCCGGTTAAAATGCATGGAAAAGCAACTAACCCCGAAATCATACCCAACGATATGTAAAAAAATGATTTTTAGATTCAAGCAGAAAAAAATTAAAATGTGATTTTGATTAAAAAACAAAGAGTTGCCAAAAAATTAATCAAAAAAAAGTTGTCGTTTAGAAGTAATAATACGTTTAAAAGCTGGTCATGGTAAAGCTGGCTGGGGGGGATATACATCTATGTGCACAAAAGGGTGGAAACATAAAAATATTTGTACTCACTGAGTACCAGGTATTAAAGTAGTGGAGCGGCTTTAGATGTGCTCCCCTCGTTTTTTATTGTAATATTTTGGTTTTTGTTTTTCATTGGCATTTTGGTGGAATTTTTTTTGCAGAATTTTCCAATACGAATTTTTTATTTTTTGCGTGTTTTTACACTTTTTCTGTATTATTTACTGCGGCGTTCACTCGCGTTCACTGTTGGCTCTTTAAATGTTTAAAAGTTTTAAGATTTAAACACGATAGGCGCCAATTAATTAAATGTTACCCGTATTATTCCAGCCGAGACGTGGGCAAACGGCAATGACAGAACGAGAAACGTTTTTATTTTGTATTTACCGGCGCGGCACGACTGGCGTGGTTGAAAATCAGATTAATTCTAAAATACAGAAATGAAGTATGAAAATGATATACATGAGACTGCCCCTCAGCTTGAGCTGCGCTGCCCGTGCGGCGGTCCCTCATTCTGTCGTGTCAGCGCTTTGTCCAGGCGCTCCGTAGTACCGGCGTATGTTTACGCGACAATGTAAATTGATGCCGCCCATCCACTCGAGTGCTGGCATCAGCGTTCTTCCACTTTGGAATTCCGCTCATACCCTGCAGCTGGTGGGGAGTGTTAACTTGTATATATGTACATGTGTATATCTTCATAGGGTCGAAGCTGAAGGAAATAGGAAACCACACCAGCAGATTTCACTTTTAGATTTAATTGTTTATTCATACAATATATAAAGTTTTGGTTACTCTATTCATTTCAATTGGAAAATGATCGTCTGAGGTGTTCCATACTTGAAACAAAATGCATTTTAACTTGTCTCCATGTGGGTTGTGTTGATTGCGCTGGTAGAAGGTGAAGACTCCCGTCTGGCATTGGGAGTGGCGCCGATGAACTGACTGACTTGTCCGACTTGGTCCGGGTCTAGGTCCGAGAGAGGTTGTGGGTGTTGCGTACGGTATGTCCGGCTCACGTATTGCTTAAAGCGTCTTCGATGCGAGCGGTTCGACTGCTTTCCTCGCCTCCCTGAATCGCCTTTCGCGTGGGGTAGACCTCGAGGCCGCTCTTGAACTTTGAGATGTCTACAATTGAGGTGATATCACCGTCCTTTGGCAGGAACACGATGTTCATCTTATTGGCCAGGGCCTCGAATAGTTGGTCGTCGTCCTCGGCCATTTCGGCGTCACCGTCCCCGTCCTCGTCGCTCGGCTCCCCTTCAGCATCCTTGGGCCCGTGGTCACCGGCCACCGTCTTGACATTCTCGTCCAAAACAGCCACCAGAGTCTCGTTCATATCCACTGGACGATGCCCAATGACCTGCACCGATAGCTTGCGCAAGTTGGTGGCATCCGTTTCGATGAGGAAGCTAATGATGTCCTCCTTGTTTAGGGTGCGTAGTACATCGACCTGCCTGCGATTACGATCGAAGAGGTAGTCCCCGTTAAGGATCTCCTCCCAGTTGCGTCCCATCTCCGTGGACAGGGCCATATCGGCGACCAGCTTCAGCTTGATCAGAGATTCCCTGGTGCTAACGTAGTCGTCCATTGGCATTTTCCTGAGGATTTGCAGCATCTTGAGGCGGAACGCTTCGATGCGCTCCTCAACATAACTGGCCGTTGTCTTCGTCTCCTGCGAATTCACCATTATGGAGTAGCCGGCGATGCCGTAATTGACGCGTACTGTGGCGCCCACATGGTAGCCCAGCTGCTCCTTAGTCCGGAGATGATCGAAGAGCGGCTCATCGACGAACATCATCATCAGGTCGAGAATGCTCTCCACGCGCACCGAGTTCGGTCCGATTTGATAGAAGTTCGTGATCACAGTATTCGTGTCGCTGCTATTGAGGGCATGGCAACGGATGGTGTGGCTGCCCAGCGGCAGTTGCACTGTGCGATCCTCGACATATTGACGCTCCTTAATGTTCTGGCAGTTGAGGCGACTGAGCACCGCATTCAGCACATTGTGGGCCGACTCTTCCGTGTAGTTGCCCTGAATGAGGGCCTGGACATACAGCTCCTGCGGGAACTTCTGAGCAAATCCCTTCAGATCCGCTAGACTGATGTCATTGAGCGACTTGTACTTGTCGATTGTCAGCCAGCGAATGTGCTCCAGTACACACAGGCGGATATCCCTAGGGAAGATAATAAATGTGTGATTTTGGGCCCATAGAAAAGAGAGAGACAGAGCGACATCTTACCGGTTGAGGGCACGCGGCTTGATCAGGTTATTGAAGTAGGCCTTGCGCTGATTTTTAATGAAGGCTGTCATGATGCTCTCATCCAGGGTGTCGGCCACATTGACCATGCCTTGGGCAATGGCCTCCACAATCAGATGGAGCTTCTCGTTGTAGCCGCTCACCTTCAGCAGCAAACCCTTCTCCCCGGCACTGAAGCTGTAGCTCAGCCCGGCACTGGTCGCCGGATACAGTTCCTCGCAAACATTGAATTTGACTAACTCTTCGTACAAGGCGCACATGGCATCACTGCGAAAAGGAAGGGCAGGAGTGTCAGAGATTAAATGGCAAGAGTGAAAAGCAGAGGGGGGGGGTGGGGTTACTTCTTGGCACTCTGCCGTTGCAGAGGTGAGATGAAGTAGAAGGCCATGTAGGCCTCGGGCAGCTCAAATTTGTCATCCTGTCGGAACCACAGCTCACACGTGTCAGTCTTGAGCAGCTTCTTGGGATAGGCGGGCAGATCGGGCTTGCCTTTGCCGCTCCCGAACAGCTTGAAGTCGTGGGCGACAAAGCGATTGGGCTCGGGCAGGAAGAGCTGCTCCATGGGCTTCGAATCGGTCCACAACTGCTTCCACTTGGCTGGCATTGGCACAGTGGTGTACTCGGTGCCGAACCACGCCTCCTGCTTGTCGTAGGTTATGCCCTCGTACTTGTCCTGCGAGGTGATCATAAGATTGAACTTGAAATCGTTGAGGTGTCCGATCAACTCATTGAGATGCTGCTCATCGTAGTTGTAGTAGAGCTCCTTGCCCGTCAGCACATCCTTGGACGGATAGTACTTGCTGTTGAAGACCAGCTCCTGGACATTGTCGAAGGCTGGACGCTGCGCCTGAAACCGAAAATTCGTCTCCTCAATGGCCTGCTGCTCTTCGTACAGTCGACGCAGGGAGCCGCAGTTGGAGAAGAGCTTCACATAGGCAAAGGTGGCGGCCAGCACCTCATCGATGTGCTTGAATCCCTCGTCTGTCAGGTAGATGCACACATTGAACAAGGAGTACATGGTGTTCAGATCGAAACCGTTCTCGTCTATGCCAGCTATCAGCTGGAGGGCCCACAGGCGTCGCCGCAAGTAGGCGCACAGACTGCCCTTGCCTTCGTAGCCGAGCAGGTAGGAGAGGAACTGGTCGGGCTTGCTGCGGTAGTACTGACGGACACTGGGCAGCACCCAGGTCAGCTCCACCTTGCACTCGTTCTCCACAGGCTTCACGAAGAACACTTGCTCGTGGAATTCCGGACGGAAGGCTTGCCGATAATCGAACTTGGTCAGATCCGGCGCCTTGCTATCGTTGCGGACTATTTCCGCAAAGTGCCGCACCACCATTGCCTCCAGCTCCTCAAGGGGCAGGCGTGCCTGCAGGCAGACGTACATTCGGTTAGCCGAATAGTGCTCCCGCCGGATCTCGTGCAATACCTTGTACAGCGCATCGTCGTCAACGTTGTCCTTGAGAGTCTTCAAGTTGCCCCAGGTGAAGGTGCCATGCGGAAAGTTTTCGGTGGCCAGGCTGGCCAGCAGTTGGTCGCGACGAGTCTCATCATCTTGGGCTATCTGCTGGAACTCGGAGTCGACGGAAACGCGCTCGCGCTGCATGGCCTCCTGCTTCATCAGCGGATGCTTCAGCAAGGCTGTGAAGTAGTCCAGGCTCGAGTCCAAGTGTTTCTCGGCCACCTCAAAGTAGAACAGCGTGTCCTCGCAGTCGGTGTTGGCGTTGCTGAAGCCGCCACATTTCTTAACGTGCGCATCGAAGATATTCTCCTCCGGATACTTTTCGCTGCCCATGAAGATCATGTGCTCCAGAAAGTGGGCCAGGCCCTGATAATTACGCGGCTCAGCGAACGAACCGTAGTCAACCATCAAGGCACAGGCGGCCAACTTCTCGTCGCCCGTTTCGCTGCTTGCTTGGCTCCCACTCTCCGAGCTTAACGAATTGGTTTCGCTGCTGGAATCGGAGGAGCTGCTGCTTGATTCGCTCAGCTTTTCCCCCTCCTCCGACGACTCGGTGCTGCTGATGCCATCATCGGGCACTGGACTGGGGTCCGAGACGATCAAAGCGTGCAGACCATTGCCCAACACAAGGGATCTACAAAGGCACGCGGGATCAATTGAGGATGGAACCTGTCCGTTCGTCACGTCTCCAAATTTCACTTACTTGTACAATTTCTTGTCGTTCTCAGACTTATCGGGCACATCCAGATACGTCACTTGGTCCGCCATTCCAGTGTATGTTCGAGGTTGCCACGGAGCTCGACTGTCGGTTCTTAATAATTGAGTGGTCTCGTCGACTCTGTGTCGTGGTCGTGGTTGCTGCTGCGGTTGGAAATGGCACTGAAAATTTGTTGAATAGTGTCCGACGATATAATTTAGAAATTTTATTTTATCTGTGAAGTGACGCGGCCAAAACATTCAATTGTATGCTTGACAATAAATTTTGACTGCCACCGCTTCCTTTTTGTTCTAGTTTCTAGTTCCCCGAATGCTTATTTGGCTTTTGCGGTCAAGCCGCCTACCTCGTTCTGTTGGGTGTTGTGTGTGTTGGGTATTTGTAGGCCGGAGGGGGGGCAGCAGCAAGCAAAATCAGACAAACCGCCAGCCACGATGTGGGGTAGGGCTGCAAGACCATCGATGGCACTATCGATAATATCGATGGTTTTGGAACTGTATGTAGATCGATGGTTTTTTTGACCACCAATAAATCATTGAGCGCTGATCAAGTTGTCCTGGTGAACGCGACCATTGCGTTTATTTTATTTTTTGTTTACCAAGTTTAACAGTTTTTAAACTAATTAAAATGTTTTCGATGGTAATTTCCCTATATCGATGTTTTAAAGCATCGATGGTTTTTCAGTCCACATTGTGGGAAGGTAGAGATGGCATAGTGATAATCAAGCTATCGATACCTAGGGCTACAATGAAAATCGTGATTTTGGCAATAATTTAAAAATTATTATTAAATTATTATCCCTTTAGTATTGCGTTATGTTAGGTCGCATTAAATTAGGTATGTATTTCTTCTGGCTTTATAAGTAATGGAATGCAAATATACTATGTTTTAAACACCATATCCACAAATTGTATACACATGTTCCTTATTTCTGATAAAATAATGCGATATTCATGCTAGGATTGTTGAAATATGGTCACTTCAAATATTATTCATAACGCTGTTATTAGCTCACTATCCACGCACGGTCCCACTATCCTAAAGTGCATTAGGTATGAGTGTCATGCGTGTGTGCGCTTGTGTGTGTGTGTGCGTACGTGTTAGTAGCGTGCAATTGTAGCGACAACGAAAATAAACGAATAAATAAATGCATATTAAAGACGTATCTTATGTGCATATGAGTACAGCATCTATCGGAAAGATGACCAGCTAATTGATAAAGGTATAGCACACTCCCACACCCACACCGTCACCCAAACCGATCGCTGGAAACGAGAAACACCTAGAGCGGCCGCACACACACATCGAAGAGCTGGTGGTGGTAATCGGAACGGTAAGTTCGACTGATAAACTTATCACACAACGATAATTCTAATTTCGTCTATATTCTCTCTCTCTCCCACTCCATCTTTCTAAATTTCCTGTGTATCACCCTCCCGCTCCCGCTGTCTGTGGCTTTTGTGTATTTTATATTATTATTATTTTTTTTTTTTTATGTGTGGCACAGGAAGAGAGCTGAGTGCTGAGTAGCGGTAAAAATTCGAAATCCGGAACGGAACGAGGCCCAGACAGACAGGAAATAACAAGTAATTGAATATTCAAGAGACGTGCCGTGCCGTGGGCCAGCAGCAACCACCACAGCAACAATTGCCAGGGCAGCAAATTGGACGATGGCCACTGGCGGCGGCAGCAGCGAGATGCCAGACCATCGGAAGCGGAACACCTTCACCAGCTATGTGGCCCCATTGCCGGGCGATATGCGCGCCACGGCGGACACGAACGAATGGTGCCTGCCCAGCGACCTTAGGGACGTGCATCTGGCCCGGCCCCGGCTGCTGCAGGGCGAACAGATTGTGGCCTCGGCCCCTGCATACATGTACTCGCCCATCGACCCCATGGACAGTGGCAGTGGCAGCAACAGTGGTGGTGGTGGTGGTGGTGCCAACTGCGAGTCCAATCCGCCGCATAAGGAGGCCACCTTCGGACTGCTGAGCGTGACCAACTTCAAGTTAGCCTTTGTGCCTTTACATGCCAGACGACCGACGGCAGTGGCGCCCCTGTGCGACCTGTATCAGGAGAACCTCTATCTGGGGCGGAACGATGTGACGCTGAACAACATCGACCAGATCTACACCATCGCGGAGCTGGGCAGGGCGGCCAGTGCGCTGCAGGCGGCGCGCATGGCTAGCAACAGCAGCCGCCGGAAGAAGCTGGAGCCCTTCAAGCAGCAGACGATCAATGGACGGATTGCCGCGTTGCACATCATCTGCAAGAACTTTCGGCTGCTCAAGTTCGCCTTCCAGCAGCAGGACTCCAAGCTGAGCGGAGTCAGCGATCACGGCAAGCTGATAGCATCGGCCTTGGTGCGCTTCGCATATCCGATGCGGCACGATCTGAGCTTTGCGTATGCCTACCGTGAGCCGTACTATTCCACACTGGGCGCCTCGGGAGTCAGCATGTACGCGACAAAGAACGACTGGGCGCGGGAGCTGATCCGCTGCGGTGCCACTGAGTGGCAGGTGGTGAGTAGCAGCAGTGTCCAGCTGCTGCAGAATCCCCTGCAGGCGGGCAAGTACTCCGTGCCGCCGCACTTTGTTATACCCAAGTGCTGCAGCGTCGAGCGTTTCCTGGACCTGTCGCGTGCCTTCTGCGACTCCCGGGCCGCCTTCTGGGTGTACAGCTACGGCAGCAGTGCCGCCTCCCTGGTGCGCCTGGCCGAGCTGCAGCCAGCGGCCCAGCAGGACACCAAGGTGGAGAACATCATGCTGGAGCTGGTGCGCAAGTGTGACGAGCGTAAGCAGCTGAAGCTGCTGCAGCTAACGGATCGTCTGCCCAGCACACAGGACGTCCTGCGGGCCTACCAGAAGCTGAGGCGCCTCTGCACGCCGGAGACGCCCGAGAAGTTCATGCTGCAGGACGACAAGTACCTGGGGCTGCTGGAGAAGACCAACTGGCTGTTCTATGTCTCTCTGTGTCTGCGCTTCTCCAGCGAGGCGGCGGCCACCCTGCGCTCTTCCATCACTTGTGTTCTCCAGGAGTCCAACGGCCGGGACCTGTGCTGTGTGATCAGCAGCCTGACCCAGCTGCTACTCGATCCGCACTTCCGCAGCATCGATGGCTTCCAGTCGCTGGTGCAGAAGGAGTGGATCGCCCTCGAGCATCCCTTCCAGCGTCGGCTCGGACATGTCTACGCGGCGACCAATGGCGGCGAGCATGTCCTCGAGAGCGAACAGAGCCCCGTCTTTCTGCTCTTCCTCGACTGCGTGTGGCAGCTGCTGCAGCAGTTCCCAGACGAGTTCGAGTTCTCGCAGACATATCTGACGACCCTGTGGGACGCCTGCTTCATGCCCATTTTCGACACGTTCCAGTTCGACAACCAGGTGCAGCGGGCGCGTGCCGTCAAGGATTCGCCGCTGGTCTTGCGTCCCGTCTGGGACTGGAGCGAGCAGTTCACCGACAAGGACAAGATGTTCTTCAGTAATCCGCTCTACCAGCGTCAGAGGAACGAGACAATGTCGCACTCATCTTCGGCGGGCCTTCAGAATCGACGCTCCCTGGCTGTGGGCCAGAAGGGATTGGCTGCATCGACGCCGTCGCGCAACACCATCAATCCGCAGCTGTTTGCAACGCATTCATCGGTGCCGCAGGACCGGTACCTGATGCCGGCGCACCGTATCTTCGATCTGGCCGTGTGGGATCAGTGCTACTTTCGGTGGCTGCCCGTCCTCGACATCCGAGGCGGCGGCCAGGCCCAGGTTGATCTCTTCCATCGCCTGCTGCTTGGCAACATTGCCAAGGTGCAGCGTTGCCTGGAGCTCCAGAGCTTCGACGATCTGCCCGATGCCTATTACGAGGCCACCGGGGAGCAGAGGCCCAATCAACAGCAGACCAGCACCCAAGGCGGTGGTGCGCCAGATTTTGACCATGATGGAGAGCCCATTGAGTACGTGGACGGGGTGGAGAGGCGACGCAAACCGAAGGCTGCCACACCGACGAACAGCCTCAACTCGGTCGGGGGCTCCTTGCAGCTATCGACGCTCTCCTCGTTCTTCCCGTTCGGCAATCCGATTGCCGGAGATGCGCCCCACCAGCTCTACGACATTCTGAGCAGCAGCACGGAACTCTTGCTGGACACCTCGTCCATTCTGGACAGGTCGTCGATTGTGTGAGCGGCCAGCCGTCTGCTTAACCCTTGTGCGGGCACCGTACTCCTCCACTCACGCACAACCCCCCCAATCGCAGCCGCATTTGTAGGCAGGCAACTAAGAGCAGAACGGACTTTGGATCGGATCCTAATCCATATAACCTACCCCTCCCACCCCTCCCCTCCACTGATGTATACATTGTTCCAATCCGCTGTTTACTTTCAAAGCTGAACTTTAGAAGTATTAAACACAAAAACCACTAACAAGAAACTAACTTTTTTACATATGGCATATCGCTTTTAACAAATTTGATTATTGTTAACTAATAAGCAAGTTATCGCATAAGTTTTTTTTTTTTACTATAATTATTATTATTATTATTACTACTTCCTACGTTTCGCAGACCACATAGAACCAGCAACAAGCAGTGGCTATAAATATATGGCGGCATCGTTATGCATAGGGAGTACCATATAATACCATATAACAAACGACGAGCAATCGACATAAAAAAAATACGAAAAATATAGAAACGAAACGAAACGAAACAAAACAAAAAACCAACTAAATCAATATGTATTATATTGTATGTAATTAAATATATTATATCGTTTAAATCTTATCTATATATATGTATATTTAAAATAAATCAAAATTGTGACAAAAAATCAAATGTGGAAATTTTTGCTTCAATTAATGTTATTTTTTATATTCCTTATCGAATATAGAAATTTAATTTTCCTTTTCATATTGCTTATCAAATTTAATATATTCAAAATTACTTTGGAGCTCAGAAAGATACATATATTATTTTTTGTTTATACTTTTAGACAAACTTTTGTGTTATTATTGAAAGCATTTTGGTAAATAGATTCAAGAGATCTTGTGGAATATTTGATAATATGAATATTGAATCAATCACAAATGGAATCCACTTGATATGTGCCACCGATTTGAGGATACAAAAAATATGTGCGTATGTATGTATATTGCAGGCATTTTCTGTTAATTCTTAATTTTTGTAATATTTACCGCTTTGTAAGAGAAATAATTTGCATTTAATTTATTAACTTAAATATTTTATACAAATATATAATTAAGGAATTATGTAATATGTAACTAGATGTGTTAAATATATAATATAAAATTGATTATTAATTAAAAATACATATGCCTACCAGAATATGATTAATACCTACAAACTCCAGTGGTAAGTGGGGGGGTTGGTTGTCTACCGAAACACGAGGGTAGGGTTAAAGCATGACCCGTGATTTCGATAGTCGATTGATCTTCGATAGACTCTTCACTTAGTAGATTAACAGTTACATTTTGCATGGCAGATTAAATAAGGCAATTTAATTCCCAAAACTGATGAAATCCAGATAAGTGGTGGTAAGTGGAGAGTACGTGGCAGGGTTTTTCGCAAGATGGACACAAAGGAGAAGCCGCTCTCGGAGCCGGATTCGGAGCCGCAGCTGGAGACCCAGACTGAACCGCACTCTCAGTTGCAGTCCCAACAGCTGACGGATGACCTACTGTTGGAAACGCCATCACCGCCCATCCCCGTCCGGCGACCACGTCGCACGGGGCCACCCATGCCGCCCGACGATGTGTTGCGCCTCTCCATAGCCGACAACCTCATGCATATTCTGGTAAATATGACAAATGGCGAGTACAAGCGACAATGTTGCGAGATTTTGCAGGTGAGCGAGCTGGCGCACAGTGCCCATGGCAAGATCCTGGCCGCCCTGCAGCACATAGAAGAGCAGCGGCCAGGTGGTCCTCAATGATGGGCTCTCTACCCCTTTTTTTTACATAATTATTTTCTGTATCAGTTAAACATTTAATAATAAACAATTGCTAACAATAGGATTGTGGGGGAGGTGTCCACTACTTTTTCTTTTCCTCCGTATTGGGCTCCTGCTTGGTCTCCTCTGCCTTCAGCAGCTCGGAGATAATGCCGACCTTCTTCAGCTCCTCGATCAGATCGCCGCTTTGATGCAGCTGCAGCAAAATGTCACAGCCGCCAACGAACTCGCCATCGATGAACACCTGGGGGATGGTGGGCCAGTCAGTGTATTCCTTGACGCCTGAAAGGAGAAGCGCTTAAGTGGATAAATTCTCATTGTGAATAACTCCGACTCACCTTGACGCAGGGCCTCGTTCTGGAGGACATCGTGGGCGTCGTATTGTACGCCATGCATTCGCATGATCTGCACCACGGCGTTGCTGAAGCCACAGCGTGGTGCCTGTGGATTTCCCTTCATGAAGATGACAACCTTGTTGGTGCGCACCAGTTTCTCGAGCGTGGATTTGTCCACAACATCGGCCGAGGAAGCCGGAGGGGCGGCATCGGCGCTGTACCAGCGGGTGGAACGTGTTGCTGTGACCGCCACATGGTTGCTGGTTAGTGGGGCGCGCGCGTAGGTCTGACGCAACAAAGTTTGGCAAATCCTGTTCATTTTATTAAATTTATTTGCACCGACTTATCTAATTTATAACAGCAACAATGTAGTCAATGTAGCTAGCGATGACAGACACTACTTCGCTCGCATGAAATGTTACGATATTTTTGACTGATTTCTAATTCGAATTTGATTTGGCAAAGAATCCAACACGCGTCGATCCGCTGGCTAAGTTAGTCAATCAACACTATTTTTCTAATTATTTTGTTTGAATAATTCAAAGGCGAACAACAGCTGTCGATGGCACACCGAATCATCGACGGTATTAATACAGACTGTAGGAGTATTTTTTTAATATAAATTGTGTGCTCAAGCTAATTTATAACATTAAAAAATATATTACAAGCAATTAAGTTTCCTCTGTGCCAGTCTTTCAATAGTTAACTTATTGAGCGTACAATTTGCGACCGGATTCAGATATGTTCCGTTTATCGCACAAAAATATCGTTGCTTTTGCAAGCCAAGAAATATATTATCATAAATGTATATTGCTTTGTATCGATATATCAATATATATCGTACATCCTTTACGACGGACGGACGGCTTACGGAGTTTGTGCGATTTCTTGTGCGGTAAATTTGCAAGAGTAAATTAATATTAATTGAAAAAAGAGTAATCAATTAGAAGCGATTCTCAGATCAATCAAACTTGTGCGCGTTTGCTTCCAGGCCAATTTTTTGTATAAAATTTTTCTTGCTGTTCAGTGAGTGAAAAATGGAATCGAACAATCGAAAAACGTCACAAACAAATGCAGCCGCCTGTGGGATGCTGTTTCCTCTACGCGCGCGATTCTTGTTTTGAGCCGGGTCTCTACCCAACTTATTGTGATCATTTCAATGGCTATAGTCAGAATCGGGGATATATATGTTGTAGGAGAGGCTTACAGTGGGGCGGGCGGTACAGCAACAGCAGCAGCAGGTCGCAATAACAAAACATTGTTTACCTCCTATTAGATCCAGCAGCGGCAGAGCAACCCCCAATCAGAATTATTAACTAAGGGTTAAATATTGTCGCAGTATGTGTGTGTGTGTGTGTTGCTTGTGTGTGTTTTGTGTTTTGGTCCCTCTTGTGATTCCTTTTTCTATCTTTTTGTTCTAATCTCAATATATTTTGTGCATCAGGGAGGGGTGCAGGGGCAGACAGGGCAAATGATGAGCTCATTGATAAGGCACTCTCCCCGCAAACACACTCTCTCCCACACACACACACAAACTCTCTCCTCTCTCTCTCTCTCTCTGTATTTCTCGTTCGGCCAGCCCTCCCCCAAGGAATATTCAGTACGAGGTTGGGCAGGTCGTTCTTGGGTACACACACATATATATGAATGCATTGGTGTGGTGTGATGCTACACACACACAAAGGTTCTTCCGGCACTCGTTGAATTCTGGCACGCAACGGCAATTGTTTTTTGATACCGCTACCTCATCTTATGTTGAATATACCTTGCCTTGCCCGCGCCCCATTCACTTTCAACGTTTACGTCATGCCGCCCCGGCCCTGGTCCGGCTACGACCCCCCTACACCCACCCTCCCCAACTTCCCTCACCATTGGGTGCGCTGTTCTATTTTTTGCCCAGCAATTCACATTTATTTTATTTGAATTTGATAAAAGTACATATGTATGTACATACATACATGTATGTATGTATGTATGTACATAATCTCGACCTACAATAAAAACAAATCACGCGCAATGTATTTCAAGTGGAACCCCGCAATGGGGATTTCCACTTTTGATTGAAAACTGAGAATTTTTCTTATTAATTCAATTCCATATAGCACATTCCTCTGATCGTGTGTGTGTGTGTTCGAGTATATATACATATGTATGTAAATTGTATGCTGAACAAGTTGCTGAAGACGCCGCCCCAAAGCAAGAGATATAAAAATACGATAGAAGATAAAAACAAAACAGAAGAGACGACATGAAACGTAGGAACAAAAACAAAATAGAAAAGCAAAAACAATAACATTCGGGGAGAGAACCCGTGTAGCATACTTTCGGGCCGCACTACAAAAATCTCCCATTCGTTCATTCCATTTCCTACTATATAAACCTTTCAGACCATGATACATCAATTGTGCGGGTGGTTACTATCCTTAATCCTCTCCACTTCTATTTAACGAATGCTAATAAAACAGAACCCCCATCGTTTCAGATTGTTGTTGTTTACGTATGTTTCTCACATTTTTCCGCTGTGCGCATTCTGTGGAAACATTTATTTAATTTATGTCGTTCATTCAAAATATATTTACAGTAACAAAAACTAATAAAATAGACGAATTTTAACTGAACAAAATTATATATTTTGATGCATGCATTCTGCGAATATTCAGTAGTTTAGCGTCAGCTTTCAGCACACCACTTTGCTACCCTCTAAACTTTATTATGTACCCAGACCGAATTCGGGTCTGCTGTGGTTCGGGTTATGCGTGCTATGCGTTACAGTTAGCTTTTGTATATAGAGCAGAAATTATGTATAATAAATACGAATAGGGAAAGTGAAAATATGAACTTATGGAAAATAAACAACACTACATATAATCCCCATTTTAATTTTCATATACAAGTTTTTGTCTGGAAGTGCAGGTTTTAGGTTCTAGAACTTCGGCAACCGAAGTCTCATTTCCTTTTTGTTGCTACGACTATTGTTGTTGTTTCTCCGTTTAGAGCAGAATAACGACAACTTTTCGAGAGCAAAGCAGAGCTTTTTGGATAAACAAATCGAAAAGAACAAAAAAAAGCACCCAACCATCCATCCACCATGGGAAACATACACACGACGGGTCCAAATGAGGCGTTAATTGTTTCAGGTAAGTTATCCCCCCTCAACTCAACCCATTTTTCCATGCATTCAGTCCAAATTGCACCAACCCCATGTGGGGGTGCAGTGTGTGTGTTGCCTCTGCAGCCGCCTGTTGACTCATTTTCAAACGTTGCAATTAGAAAACCGCAACCGTTGACATGGCGACAGGGAGACAGGGTCGTGTAATTTAAGCCAGGGGTGGAATTTCTCTTTAAAATTAAAGAATTTAATTCGATACTGAAGATAAATTGAGTATATTGATAGAATACCAATATGTATAGCTTTTTCTTAGACATTTTAAAGTTCTCAAAGACCGCTACGAAATGTGCAAAATAAATTTTTAGATGTATTTTATATGTAGTATCTGTATGAATAGTGCACAGTTGTCGAATTATTTTATATACATCTGTTAGTTGAAGTCATTTAATGAATATAAACCTGTTCCACTATTCATCAAATGATGCGAAATACGTGGATTGTGGATTGTGCAAGTGTCCCATAACAAAACGGACTCATGTCGTTGCGATGCAATATTTTGAACGATGGAATTCCCAACAATATATGAGTATTGGAACTGTATGCTTTAAGTTATATTTATACCCGTACTCAAAAAGAGTTAGGAGGAGTTAGGGGCGAGGGATAGGGAGAGTTAGGGGGTATATTGTATTTGCGGTAAAGTGGATGTGTGCAACGCAGAGAAGGAAACGTCTATGTCTGTCTGTCTGTCCGTCTGTCGATATAACTATTAACGCAGTATCGTACAGATTGACCATATCTACAATGTACGTATCTATAATTTACATTTTATATGTGGAATCGACATTTTAGATGTAGATGTAAATAACAGATGTAGCAACAAAAATGTAAAATATAAAATATTTTAAAACTCTACATAAATCATTAGCTCACAATTTTATATACTGACTGAGTACGGGTATAAAAGTAGAGTCGCGTCCACAGAAGCGACTCACACGTTCCTTCTCGTTTTGTATTGTGTTGGTTGTGGGCTACTACACCTCGAAAATGCAGTGAACTCTTATGTACGAGTTTGTATATATGTATATGTTGTGGATTTCTGTAACTTATAATTGGAAATGTCATAAAAATATAATGCCGCATTATAAATATAAAAAGCTTAGATGAAAGGACTACGACGGTCACACTGCGGTGCTCAGCAGCTCTGGGACTTGTAGGCTCCTTCTGCCTCCTGTGTCTGGGATTGGATGGATTATTGAACGTTTCATATAGCAAGTAGAGGAAAAAGGAAGCGCTAAGAACAGTGATAACCACTTGTATGCGCACAACCCTGATGACACTGCATCTCATCAAGTCACCCACCCTCCACTTCTCCTTCTCCACCTCCATCTACATTTCCATCGCCAAGGATAGACCCACCAGCTTCCGAGTCAAACCACCCCCTGTTGTTGTTGTGGATGATGGCACAATGCCAGTGCCTGCTGTGCCTGTCCCTGTGCCTGTCCCTGTGCTGTGCCACATCTAATGCGGCTTTCAACCCCCGTGCGGTCGCGGTCTTGGGTTAATGCACTCGCACTCGGCATCCCAACCCCCAGAGCCTACGCCTACCCCACCATAGCCTTCTCCTTCTCCGTCTCCGTCATCCCACGAAACGGCTGTCTCGCAGGACAGACGGACTCGTTAAGGTAATTCCATTTAATTAACTCTCCAAGTAAACCTCCCTTCCCCCTCCCTACCTTTCCGCTGGCAGCCTCGCATCTCGTCTGAGTCTCAGCTCCAGTCAGAGCGTATCATGTCCGCCGCCTTCTC